CTAATCACACCATTGTAAACCAGGAGCAATTTCACTGATGCAAATGGAGTTTTACTGGTATGAAACAGCACCAGTGCGGTCTAAATAAGATCCGTCTGCCTTGCTGTTATGTTGAGCAGCTAGTATGTGCAAACTGAGATGTCTGTGTGAAGACAGGCAGGCATTTTGCTGTAAGATAAGTATTTTCACTTGATGCTCTTTTTTTTTTAATGACTTCCCCTCCTCTTTTCCAGATATATGTTGGGGAAAGGAGGAAAGCGGAAGTTTGACGAGCATGAAGATGGGCTGGAAGGCAAAGTGGTGTCTCCTACTGACGGTCCATCTAAGGTGTCTTACACCTTACAGCGCCAGACTATCTTCAACATTTCCCTTATGAAACTTTATAACCACAGGCCATTAACAGAGCCAAGCTTGCAAAAGACTGTTTTAATTAACAACATGTTGAGACGAATCCAGGAGGAACTCAAACAAGAAGGCAGCTTGAGGCCTGTGTTCATCACCACTTCTCAGCCTACTGACCCTCTCGGGGACAACTTCAGAGAGGCCCAGCCTGCGTTCAGCCACCTTGCCTCTCCGTCAATTCACCCCACTGACTTTGTAAGCACTACACCATTGGAGTCTTGCCTCACCCCAGCCTCTTTGCTTGAGGATGACACTTTTTGCACTTCCCAGACTGTCCAACATGATGGTCCTACAAAACTACCACCTCCAGCTATCCAACCTGTAAAGGACAGTTTCTCCTCAGCCTTGGATGAAATTGAGGAGCTCTGTCCAACACCTACCTCTACCGAGGCAGTAGCAGCAGCAGCAGCAGCAGCAGAGGACTCTAAAGATAACTCCAGCGAGTCTAACATTCAAAAGCCTGAGGGAGTCCAAGAGAGCAGAACAAGTGAATCTAAACTAATGGACTCCCTACCTGGCAATTTTGAGATAACAACTTCCACAGGTTTCCTCACAGACTTGACCTTGGATGATATTTTGTTTGCTGACATTGATACTTCTATGTATGATTTTGACCCTTGCACGTCTGCTACAGGGACTGCCTCAAAAATGGCTCCTGTCTCAGCAGATGATCTCCTAAAAACTCTAGCCCCTTATAGCAGTCAACCAGTAACCCCTAATCAGCCTTTCAAAATGGACCTCACAGAACTGGATCACATAATGGAGGTGCTTGTTGGGTCTTAAAACAGAGTGACTTTCTGTACCAGTATATTCACTTGGTAGTATTTTCACAGTCCCTGCCCACCCACTGACCTACCCTGCTGCCCCTGATTCACAGCACTGTGCATGCGTCCTTGCTTGCCTTTTTTTAAAAGAAAAAAATCACACTAGATTTTGCTTCAAGCAGAGTTGGAGTGCCTTCATCCACGTATGACCACTTTTAATGTATTTTTTTTAAAGTGGTTCCTCAAGGAAGACCGAATATCCCGGTGTAGGAAAGAATACGTATTGTAGACAATATTACTATGTTATTACAACAAAAAAATTAAATTGTAAAAGCTAAGCACAAGGATTATGTTGGGAAAAGCTGTAAATTGCATGTGCATATTTGTCTATTTTTTCTATAAGTTTTATTGCAAGAGGTAAAAATTTTATTATTTAGATAATCTCAGTACCATTTTAGCCCTGTATAGGTTGACTTAGCAATTCAGCCTTTTGGAGGCATTAACTATTCCTCTTTAAGTGTTGCATTTACATGGCTGTTTAGAAACTGCTGCCCAAATTTATTTTATATTTTTGTACAGATTCTGCAGTTTATGATATTGTTTTTTCTAAAAACAAATGCTGTTTATACACACAAAAAATAGCTATTTTGATAGGATTTGCTCACATAGTTCCTGCATAATTCAGATGTACAAGAACCACTTGTACTTTTATACAGAGTTGTAATGTTTTATATGTGTATGGTGCAAAGAGAAAATTGGATCAAATAAACCTGCAGTTGGTCTCCTGAATGCAAACAAAAGTGCTTTGAGAGAGGGCCGGGGGCTGTTTCACAAGTTTCACAAATGTTTGCTCCCTGCTGTAACCACCTGTGCACTACTGTGATTTCTAAAACTTAGAGCCATGTCTGTTCCAACACCTATGTTAAACAGCTGGCAGGAAATAGTTGTGAAACTTCGTTGGAAGTGGTGTCTTGTGCGATCAAGGCTACTGGGAGCTTAATCTTAATGCCAGTATGCCAAGCAAATGTCTGTTCCTTTTTAGAAAGTTTTATTTGGAACATCACGTTTTCTTTGTTCCTTGAACTGCGTAAGCATTTTAGCAGTCCTGCGACTCCTTAGCAGAAATGACTGCAAACAATTTTAAGGGGGAACACATACACCGGTTACAAAAAAGATTTTGCAGTTTTTATTGGAGAGCAGCATCCGTGCTCTTTGCTCCAATTCATTTGCATTCAAGATTCCACTTGCCCTTTCTTGGAGCATTTTTTCCCTCACTGTGTTGATAAGTGCTGAAAAAGGCAAGTTCAGTATTACTGCAGTGAAGCTCATCTCTTATCTGCACTGGATGGACTTAATTTTAATATCCATTGCTGTTGAAACTGGAGCCAGTCGCATTACATCACTTGGCATCTCCTGTAGGGTTGGTTTCTTGTATCAACTGTGTTACCTGCTTTACACTTTATAGACCTGTTATACAATGAATATACAGACACAGCTTTCTATGCATGTTTCCTTCCCCTGTAACACCTGAGAAGTCTTCTCATTACTGCACCAATAGCATTTTTTAACTCGTGGTGTACATTTAATTTAAAAACGATTTGCAATGTATCATGCCTGTTGCTGAAGTTGCTATGGCATTTTAGTTTTCCAATGGTACTTTAGCTGTTGAGTGCAGGTTACAACCTATATTGTCGACATGCCTATGGCTTCTTTAGGAATATCTTTTATATTTATTTAAGAAATTTTAAATTATGTTTTATGTCATTTGGCAATATTCAGCCAGTTCTGCTCACTTCTTGTCATGGATAAAATTGGGTCTTATCTGCCATTTAAGGAGGCAGCTTTATAAATTGGCACTTTAAAACAGGCCGTATATATTTACTAGTAAATGAATAATGCATACAAATGCAATACAAAGCAATGAATTTCAGATATTGCAATGAAGGAACTGCTAATCTGAATGAAATGCGTTGTGTACAATTATGGAATCCTTTGGATTCTAATTAATCAGCCAGCTACAGTTTGTTTTTAAAGACTAACTCAGTGAAGCAACAAAATGTTGATGAACTTGCAGTTGTTTGCTTGCAAGGACTGTAATAGTATTTACCACTTCGCACAGAATGCCATCAAGCAAGTGTAGAATTGGGGGCCGTTTTTAACAGGGGGAGGCGTAAGGAATAATTGTTCCATTTTTTTTGCATTCAGGAGCTTGTGGTTATTGTTCATCCTGCAGCTTCCATACCTTGTAAGAGAATACTAGATGATCTCTTGAGGTCCCTTCCAGCCTTATTTCTCTGTGATGATAACCCTGCCACAGACTCTGCAACTTTTAGAACTGGAGGAACCAGGAGAATTATGGCCCTGGTGTGTAACTGTGTGTGTGTGTGTGTGCACACAAAAATCATGTAGCCACACAAGCATGTTAACTTTTTTTGTTTTAATTCTTCCCTCAGAACAATAATTTGGTAAGTGTACTGATTTACCATTGTGTAGAACTGATTTACAATAACTTAGAAATGCCCCCCCCCCCTTCTTATTAGTTAATGGTGTGTTTAAACCAATACCATATGTTAGGCAACAGTTCAAATAAGCACCATTTTTGGAGCAGTGAACTGTAGCTCTGAAAGGGGTAATTTTGAAGTCTCTTGGTATTTGCAAAATAGGAGAGAGAATTTCAAAATGTTTTACCAGTCAAGAAATCTGTGTATCCTTGGTGCTGAAGTCAAAGTCTTACAGTACTTGAAGGCAATCGATAGCACAGAGATGCACCTAACTTATAAAATTAGGCAAAAGGTCAGGAATTCTTATTCTGAGCTATAACCTCTTGCTCTGTAGATGGAAATGCTTGCTAGAATCTCTCACTCTTTGCAGCAGCTTTCTGTCTGTAGTGTGATCTTTGCAACGGTTGTAGAATAACAGTCAGGTTAAGTATTCTTTATGCAAGAGGTATGCCAGAGGATGTATATTGACACTGATGTGCAATGAAATGACAAGATGAGAGCAGAATGAAAGAGCTTTGGATTTGAAGTGATTTTTTTTTGTTGTTTTTTCCATAACTTATTTATTCCTTTTTTTCCTTTGTAAATATATTTATTTTATTGTGAAGCTAACAACATCTGGATTGTAACATGTACAGAATGTATGGTAGGAATGTATTCTCTTGTAGGAATGTAAATCTGTATGAAAAGGGGATGGGAGCTACATTGAGAGAATGATTTGGGTTTGATTTGGGATACGCATGGTTCACATGATTTTCTCCCCTCCTTTCCCCCCTTGCCTCTTTCTTCTAATATGGGTCGGGTTTGTGAAATATGCATGAGGTATGGATGAGGAATAGTTCAGTATGCAGAACCAGCCATCGCTATCAGCCTCCTGATGTGTCAGTTCCTTCCAAAGGGGACTCCCATTTGACCCTGGGAAGTCTGCTGGGAGCACGCTTGATTTGATCCACCTCTTCCTCTGGGGGCTGATTTTGTAGATGCACAAGCAAACTCCACGTATGCAAGGAGCCCCACCAAAGCCCCTGGGGCTGCACGAACAAGTACATTTGCAGGACGGTACTCTTTCTCTAGGAAACAGAGTGGAACCGATGCCACCTTTGCGCATGGTAAGATACAGCGTAGCAGTTGTAAATGTACTTTCTAAGTGCAACGTGTTAATTGCATGGGCTTAAACGTATTGCTTACCAGGCTTGATCAGGCAGTCCTGGTTTGTATGCAACTCACGTTGTACTCTGCTGGAACTGGGCTTGCAATAGGGACTGCAAGATTGTGGCACCCACTAATACAGTCCCTTCTCAGAGCCTTAGTGGACTGTACAGCCTTGTATGCAAAGGAAGAAGCACATCCTTTGAAAAGAAAGATAGTGTTCAACAAAAAGCCAAAGTATGATCTATTTGCATTCCCTGCTGCAAGCTAGAAAATAAGAACCGCTTCTGAAATGACCGTTGTGAGAACAAACTACCTTGCGCTGCAGCCGGTTTCTCCCTGTTGCGTGTTAATAGCCCAGATGATTTAAAACTCAGTGTTGTGAACCGAAAGTTTACACTTTTTTTCAGAAACGAAGAGAGCAAATTGCAGTGAGTCCTGTCTGACAAACAGTCTAATTCACTCCAAAGTGTTGTGAACTTTGATTTGTTTTTCTTTTCCAAACAGGCTTCAGCATCCTGCTTCTGTGAAAGTTGCTTTCAGTGATTATATTAATGGGACTGAACATTTCTTAGAAGTTAGCTGTTTTTAAGCTTGCTCTCTCTTTTGCTGAAAATAAGCCTAGTGCAAGTCCTGGAACCTTTTAAAGAAAAGAAAATAAAAGAAAGAAAAAAATCACCACCTACAAGTTGAGAGGGATAAGTGTAATCCATACTAGTATCTGAAAAGGCAGAGATTCTAGAAAAGGTGTAAATAGTGTGACATGTTCAGTGCATGGTTGTTGAACAGGGCTTGTTATTGTCAAAAAGAAGGCTGTATTTCTCCCCCTCCCTCCCCCCACAGACCTTAGAGCTGTGCCTTTTCTATGCAATATTACAGACATATACATCTGAAACCAGATTACTGTATTCACATGTAGGTATGGGCTGTAATCAAAACAATTGGACAAATGTACATGGAAATGAGCAGTCTTACTTTTGTAGTTTTATATTATACAATAAACAATTAAAAGATACACTGGTTGAAGGGTTGTTTTTTTTAATCACTCATTTTTGTGACCAAACTGCAGTTCATGCTGGAGTGTATTGCTCCCGGGCACAGTGTTTACATGTGCACCTGGGATTACAGCACATTGAGCCCAGGCAGAGCAGCCCTGGCTGGCAGGGAACACTGTGGGTCAGTCTGCCAGCTCAGAGCTACTCTGCTCCAGCTTCATGTGTTGTGGAGTGGTTGGCTGGGGCACAAGGGTGCTACAGTGGGGGCTCGCTGGCAGGCAGCCTTTGCGCTATAGCACCCTTGTGCCCCAGCCAGCCCCAGTCACTGCCTACACATGCTTTGTGGCAGAGTAAATAGTGCCTGACATTATGGCAGAGTGAGTTAGTTTTAGTGTGGCTATCGTAGAGGACAGTCCGGTTGTCCTCTATTGATATGAAACCTGGGTGCCTTTATGTCCTCTCTTTTTCTTTTGAAGAGAAAAATAGAGGGCATTAAAGGTGTCCAGGTTTTGTATCAATAGAGGACAGAGTAGCAGAAAACCAGAATGTCCTCTGTTCTGGTCACCCTAATTAGTTTATTCCAGCCTAATACAGCCACATATGTAGATGGTGATGCTTTACTGCAGAGCTAACCAGTCAACTTTGCATTAAAGCACACACATAGATGCCCCCACAGTGACCTAGAGAAGGTGTCTTGCCCTCCCTTTCGGGGATAATTACCCTTGTTCATGAGGGGGAGGGTATCCCACCTATCCACAGTAGGACACTACAAGGAGGTTAGGAGTGATGCGAGTGGGAGGTCTTGGGGAAATGGCACTGTCCTCAAATTCCCTGGAAGATTCCCCAGGGAAGAGAAATCTGGCCTCAGCTCTGGGGCACATTCTGGTGAGCACACTGTAAGGGCCCTCGGGTCCCTGGGAGTCCACAGTTGTGTTGGTGCCATGTGCTGCTCCCAACTCCCAAGGATTGGTCCCGGGGTAGGATTTGGGTGGGTTTCAAGCTTCTTGCAAAGAACAGACACAGTTCGTTTTTCCCCTGACAGAAATGAGAACATACTCTAAATGAATCCTGGGGTGATGTTCCTTGCTCTGAGCTTCTTTCTTCGGCATTCTGCCATGCGCAGTCTCCAAGGTCTTAGGATCTGGGCTTACCCCTGCAGCATTAGCTGGGGGGAGGGGAGAGAGGGAGCGGCAGTGGCTGCTGTTCTAATTTGCAAACAGTGGGAGATGAGTTGTGCTCTCTGGACCTGCCGTGAGCCCTGTGGCAGTCCAGGGAGCTCGTGCCCAGGGTAGCTCATAACAGTAGCCAGGCCAGTTTTAATAGACAGAGCGCTGTCAGTTCTGGCTTCAAATCACAACTGGAAGCATTTGACGCTTAATTTCAGACCTTGCCCTCTGTGTTGATGACTGTACTTGCTTTCTAGGAGGGCAGGGAGGGCGATAGCCTGTCCTTCCGGAAGCCCTGTTAGGCCATAAAGTACTGGGTCTCGCCAATAGAGTTTTCTTCACTAACTCCTGGGGTGGTGCTGGGGGCAGAGAGGAGTTGCCTAAAATCCCAGCTCACTTCAGCCTCTTCCAAAGCGAGAAAGCAATGGTACTTCTCCAGCCAATCTTTACAAAAGGGCCAAGGGTCCAAACCTTGCTAGCACTGCTTGAGCTGGGGATTCAGTATCTTCAAGAAGCAGTGAGTTTTCCTGTCTTAACATGCCACGCATAGCATCGACAACGAACTGGCTCACGTTACCCAAGTTGCAGCCGGCAACGGGAGGGCTCTGCATTTAGAAAGCTTGTGGTAGTGCTGCAGACCAGCTGCTGCTAATGTCTGTTGCTCAGCAATAGCAACAAATGGCTGCAGGGATAGAGGGCACAAGACAGATGAGACAAGAAGTGGGAGGATTAACGACCCGCTGATGATTATGTATCTGGGGAACTTGTTTTCGGATTTCGTTTGGAAAGCTGTGGAAAAATGCAGCCGTGAGATTGTGAAGCCAAACAGTTTCCCCTTGGCAACCTTTCCAGTTGTGTAGTACACATACACTGCTTTGCGCACGTAGTGGCAGTGTGAGTTCCTCATCAAATGTTACCACAGTAGCGTGTGCACCTGGCTAGGAAATGTTTGTAAAAGTGAAAACCAGTTTCATTGACATGTCACTGCTCCAGAAATCCTGGCGGTTCATTCCTGAGGATCTTTCCTTCTGCAGAGCGGGGTATGGACGGAGGCTAGTCAAGGCTGCGAGTGAAACGCAGGTTGTATCCTGCCTAGATTAGTGGGTTTATTTATTTAACAGCTCAGCTTTCCAATTCAGTAAGCCAAGAGCATTTTCTTGGGGCTTTTCTGTGGTAACCTGCGCCAACAGAACATGATCTTTGTCTCCCTCCCTTTAAGTGGACAAGTCTACTACAGCTGCTTGCTCAAATGCTCAGTGCTGTAGTTTTAGTGCCAAAGGTCCCAAGTGAGGGAAGCAAAGGAGTTGTGAGTTATAAGGATTGATTTATGCTACTGCTGTTTGTCCCTGGGCACATCCCTGCATGTGCACTCTGGCCGCAGGACAATTGCCCTGGGTGGGGCAGCAGCCCCAGCAGCCTTACTGTACTGGAGGGCCTCCCCGGGGCAGCAGCAGCAGTGATCCAGGTGCTCACAACCAGACCATGGTTTAGCTGGCTGGGCTCCCATACCACTTTTTTTAAGTGGCAGATTTTTTTTTATTTTTTTGACACCAGGCTCTCCCAGCGTCAAAAGCACTCCCTGTTGCAGTGGTAACTAGCAGCGTGACAAATGCGTGCATGTATGCCACATGCAGCTTGTGGTGCTGCAAGCTGCACATGTGCATGCAGGGGGATGTACCCAGGGGCTGCATGTCAGACCTTACCCTGCTTAGGTGTCATCACATTTGAATCAGACAGCTGTCATCCCTTAGGAAGGACTGAGACTGGTCTGGAAATATCACCAGAGCAATTTTGCATCAGAAGCTGCAACTGTTAGGCATTCCTAAAACTCAGGCCATTTCCACAATTAAGTCTGCAGCTAAGTACTATTTCCACCACCCCTCTATTCCAAATCCAGGTTGATTTTGCCCCTGTGGCTGTTTGATGCTAACAATTAAGGCCATGAGTCAAGCAATGTTTCCTGTTCATACCATAGACACCAATTCTCTCGTTCCCACCTGCTCACCAGCGTCCCAGGAGAAATGTGTTCTGGGCTGCACAGCAACACCCTCGGGCTGGAAGAACAGGAGCCAACTATTGTTAGAGCCTGTTGGTGTGGGCTCCCTGATGGTTTCAGGGCTGGTGGAAAGAGGGGACATTTTATCAGGGTGTTTATATACAATGTTCAAGTCTGCCTTTATTGGGGGAGTACATGGGTGGGAATCATCAAAATGGCTGCAAGCAGCAAGTGCCAGGGCTAAGGGTGCGGACAGAAGGTGCTGTCAAATTTTTTTTTTTTTTTTGGCGCTTGCTTTAACCCATGCTCGATCTGGTGGGCACACCCACCCAGGCCGCAAGCTATACATCTCAGCCCCTGGCTTGACACCAGCAAAGCAAAATCACCCAACCCCCTTGGAGGTGTCGGAGCAGCTGGGCTCCTCTGCCGCCTCCTCGCTTTGCTGGACCAAGAGTGAAAGTCCTGATGTTTGCAGCCCCAGTTAGCCATCCTGTTCCCCTTTAGGGTGGGGAAATATATTTACTAGGAGTCCTTGGGTTTGCCACTGGAGTAAAAGGTTGCATCTTTAATGCTCCTGATGTAGGTAAAGTGGTTTAGATCCCAGTCACCTGGATGCTGATGGAATAGCAGAAGGCGGCTGTCCACTGGGGAGGCTTGTTCCCATAAGGGAAAGGGAAGACCTCTATAGGTTTGGGGTATTTGTGTGTGGGCACACCCATGCTCATTAGAAACCGCACATGCCTCCCCCCTCTCATTGTGCTCATACGTGAATCAGGCCTGAGCACAGTGGTCCTTCCAAGGGGGTCACCTGAGACACCATTACCTTCATGTGGACAAGACAGGCTACCTTCAGCAGGTGTCCAGTGTTGTTCAGAGACAGGAGCCTAGGTGCAGTCAGATGGCATCACACATGGTCTGGCTCAGGCTGGGAGGAGGTGATGATCAGACCTAGCTAGACAGCGGTGTGGAGGGACACCAGGTTTGGTCAAGCCCTAAGAGGCTTTCCAGACCCGGGAGCAGCACCTCCATCCAGCACCACCTGTGCTGCAAGGGGAAAGTCTCCCTGGCTCTGTGCGTTTTGTCTTCACACTCCTCTTCCCTGCTTTACGAACCTGTCTCTGCCTCCCCTCTCCTGGGAGCCATTTTTCCTTTTTGGCTCCAAGTCCCGTTTTCCACTCTTAAGGCTCTCGCTCCATCTGCTTCTCTTCCATTTTCCTCCCCTCAGCCCCACCCTCATCTCCTTCCCTCTCGTTTGTTGCAGGCTCCTCATCGTGTTTCCCTTTCATTCACAGGCTGCCTTTCTCCCTCCCTGCTCCCTCTTTTCATGGTTTCTCTTCCTGCGGAGGGGCAGCCTCAACAGCTGGCAGGAGGCCAGCAAGATCGCATTCACCCCCATACCCACTCACTGATGATTAATGGTAGGCGGCTGGGGACTGGGAAGGGGCCTGCAGCTGAAGAGGAGCCCAGCCTGCAGTGCTGGGCCAGGCAGGGTTGCCAGCATCTGAA